GAATTTTGCCATCAGCAAAGCAAATTACTTAAAAAAAACCCACTCAACCTAGTGATCCCAGTCATCCCAGTCACCCTAGTCATCCAAGTCTATCCCAGTTATCCTAGTCATCCCAGTCACCCTAGTCATCCCAGTCTCTCTAGTCACCCTAGTCATCCCAGTCATCCTAGTCATCCCAGTCACCTTAGTTATCCTATTAATCCCATTTATCCTAGTCATCCCAGTCACCCTAGTCACCTTAGTCAACACAGTTATCCTAGTCATCCCAGTTATCCTAGTAATCCCAGTCGTCCCAGCCATCCCAGTCACCCTAGTCATCCCAGTCATCTGAGTCGTCCCAGTCACCCTAGTCATCCCAGTCACCCTAGTCATCCCAGTCACCCTGGTCATCCCAGTGACCAGAGTCATCCCAGTAATCCCAACACTGCAGCAAAACCTCTACGCATGCGCCAGGTTGAGCATTTCCGGTCACTTTTTCAGCCACCTTTTCCAGTCAGTTCAAAGTCTCCCGGGTGCGCTCGACTTCATTCTGTGTGAAGCTTGTGGTTCAGTTGTTTTGCTTTATGCTGCTTGTATTTTTTACTATTTTGTAGTTATTGAAATTGCTTTTATGGATAACCAGGCACAGATCAGTAAACAATTGGTCAATTAGATTCAGAAAAGAGAAGCTGATAATAACTTGTGGCATTTTGGCTAATTTGAGCGTCAGGGAAACTGATTTTCTTTCACGAAAACAAAGTTTTCACTTAACCTGGCTGAAGTAAGACATAAAAAGTTATGACTGCAACCTTGTGTATTGTAGTTCTAATTTTTGGTTCTTCAATTTCATACTTTTAATGTCTTAAACCCGCTTTGAGCTTTATTTGGAAAAGGACAACACAATTGCTTTGTAGTTTTATTTAAGCTTACAATTGAGTTCTTGTTTTAAAATGAAGCTCTTCTGAGTTGATTGCCAAAAAAAATGAGCTTAATTATACTATTGAGGTTGGCAGCAAGTTTACAACTCTCAGAATCAGAGATCAAAAGCTGGTTCAATGGCTTTTAGAAGTCGAAATTTTCATACCAAGTATTTAGCAGCTGGAAGTTTCGTGTTCACATGAGATGCAGCAGAGCCGCACAGTCTGAAATTATTGAAGTCTTCAACCAAAGAACAACCATGGGAAAGAATTAATAAGAAATAAAATAGGCTATTTCTTGATTTTAGGCATGTTGAGTTTCCCCGGCCAATATCATTCAATACACCAAAAGCTCCGGGTATTTGTGACTGTAGTCATCAAAGTCAAGGTTGCTATTAATATAAATCTCGTCCATCTTTTGTTTTGAGTTTTTGGTTTCTCTAATGATAAAAAAAATAATGAACAGTCTAAACTTTTATTTCCTGTTTTTAGTGTTAATGATAATAATGACGTGGTTTCTTTAATAAGTATTGCTATTCTTTTCTTAGTTATCGCCTTCTCCCAAATTAACTAATGCCAAACCAGTAGCATGCAAGAAAGCCAGTAAAAACAAATTTATCTTGTTGACTGCCCTCGACCTACAAACTTCAAACATAATTTTCATCGTTGGGGCAACCAGATAACCATGTGATGTAAAAGTTTGACACCAGAAAAATATATCAGCTATTGAATGAAGTGATTTTTTTTGCCTCCTTTTTTGTCTGTTTCAGCCTTTTGCTTTTAAATGTGGCGCGACAGCAGTGTTATGCTTATGCAATTGGTTTATTTACTAGACTGGAAATAAAAATCTGACTGGATGTTAAATTTTGTGATCATAAGCAGTGCGTTTTGTTGCGGTGTTAGTAATCCCAGTCAAACTAGTCGTCCCAGTGATCCTAGTCATCCCATCTTAGTCCCCCCTACTTGCCCCAGTCATTCTTACCATCCCTGGGTTATTAAGTCCCAGTTAAGCACTAATCCCTGGTTATTAAATCACTGAGTCATTTAGTTGTATAATCGCCTGCAGTAAAGTCAGTTATTCTGTCAGACAGTCTGAATGAATGAATTGAATTGAATGGATCAATGTGGTAAGAAATTTGAGGGTACAATATGGATTGCATATCTACACTAACAGGTACTATAATAACAACATCATAATAATTACAATAATAATTATAATAATAATAATAATAATTATTATTATTATTATTATTATTATTATTATTATTATTATTATAACAGCAGAACTTGGCTACTGTTTCAAATGTGTGACAGTTGAACAAAGTCGATAAATGCTAATCCAGGAGAAAACTTAAATTGTCCACGGTTTTTGCATTAGTTTTCTGATAATGAGTACTTCACCAACAAGTGCCTGTCTCTTGGAATTTTAGCAGTCAATCAAACTATCATTGTTCTTGAAACCAAAGAGATTTCATTGAGTTTGAGCTGTCTTTGTATTATGATTCCCTGCAGACAAAACTTGTGTTTGCAAGCCATGTTTAATGCAAAATGTACAATTCATACATGTACAAAGTTCAACAGACATTCTGAATGCATCCCTTGAA